ATTATTACACTTATTTGTGATAGACATTGATGAGGTGGCAACTATGTAAGTAATGACATGGATTTAAATTTATTTGGCCAAGTAATTAAAGTACAAAAAAAAAGAAGAAAACAAGAGGACTCTTGGTTGTTGTTGGAACGGAATTTGAGAACATTTATTAGGGAATTTAATTTCCTATGGAGTGAACTCTCATTTATCTCAAGAGTTTGGAGCAAAATGCACTTACGTGGCATGATGGAAAGAAGAATTTGTTTTGAAGTGGACTCTTAATTAATTGGGAGACTTATGTTTAAGAAAAGGGACGTGAACAGAGAGCTTTTGGACGGGAGATATACGAGAAGACCAAAGGATTTATTTGCTGTGGAAGACATTTCGGCCGATTGATTTAATCAAAGGAGTTTGTTTTATATTATTTGCTTTATTTATTTATTTGGAGAAGATGATGAATTATTATTGTTTTTATCCTTTAGCTATGTGTAGCTAAATACTTATTTCGGTTCTAGGGACGTTGAACCCTCGATGTCTATGTTCGATTAATGCAATTTATTTCGTTTCACTCGTCGTATAAAATTGTTTGTGTTATTCTAGTTTCATGTCATAATGTGTGATTTTTAATTTAGCTTGATCACCTAAGTTAGGAATTACATGTTAATTGCTAGATTTGAGGCTTCGATCCGTAATTGTCATCGCTCTTATTTCGTTTGTAGCAACTAACAGTCGTGCATTGTTAGGGATAGCACAACATAAGTTACATGAACCGAGCTTATGTGTTTGTGGCTTAGATCGGTCTATTTTCCTAGATTTTAACGCGGCTAGTGGGTTAAATTAGGAGAGCTTATTCCGAGTTATTCGCTAGTTAGAATTAATTGAAGAGCCTATTTCGATTAAGTATAAATTAAGGGAAAATTCGGGTAGCAGAGCTTATTGCTATCTAGGACCGGTAGTTTTAGAAGACGAGTGAAATTTGATAAAAGCATTAATTTAGCTAGTTATTCGAGGGTGTAGACCGACCTGGAACCGATTCCATTCTCATATTCACTAGATTATTTATTTATTTTCTATTTCATAATCATCTTTGCATTTTAATCATCCATATCTAGTATTAGTTTAATTTATCATTTTCATTTTTATTTTAATCTAATTAATACAATAAATTCGTTGTTTATACCACACTCCCTGTGGGATCGACCCTTGCTCGCCATTACTACTAGTTAGTAGGGGTTAGACGAGGAATTTATAAATATAAATTTGCCGTGTAACGACGCGCGGTCACGGACTTCATCGGCGGCCATCTTCCGGCAGTGGCTGCGGGCAACTTTGCGGTAAGTCTGTGGCGATGGCCTTGCCTTGGTTTCCCTCTATTCTGGTCGTCCCTGGTGTTGAGATGATGCGGTTCTCCGGCAGTGATGACGTGGTTGCGTGGCGGCTCTGGTGTATGCGAGGGGGGGCTGTCGGTGTTGCTAGCCGGTTTGCCTTTTCTTGATTTTTGGAGTTGGAAGTTCGCTTGGTGTGGTTGGTGATGGGTCTTCCCGACTAGCGGGAAGGGCGTTAATTTTAGTTAGTTTAATGTGTTTTTTTAGTTTCGTGTTTTCTTGTTTTCGATTTAGTTGTGTATTTGGTTTGTTGGTTTTTGTGTTCTATCTCCCATAGGAGAGTTTGTTTCTCCCGCAGAGGAGTGTGTTTCTCCCGCAGAGGAGTGTGTTTCTCCCGTAGGGGAGTTCTTTCTCCTTTTGAGGAGTTTGTTAGGTCTTTTGTTTGGTTGTTCTTGTGTTGGTTGGTTCTAGGCGATCCTTTGGATTCGTCCTCTCACTAGATTCGATTTATGAGCCGTCTTTTCGACTTTTGGGCCGTTTCTGGATGTACATTTCTTTTTATTAATGAAACTTCTATCGTTTGAAAAAAAAAATCAAAAACTAGTCTATAGTATCAACTCTCAAGAAAATGGGAGTTCGAAAAAGAAGCAAAAGAAACAAGTGAAGAAACAATATNAAAAAAAAAAAGAAAACCCAAATTGCAACCAGAGTCTACCTCCTCACCAGCTTCGGGAGCTTAGATCTGGGTTGAGGTTGCCTTTTCACCAGATCCGACTAACTGTTAGTATGTTGAAGTTTTTAGGTCTGGGCCTAGTTCTCTAGCTCTCTTTTGTTTTTAAGGGTTTAGATTGTTGCGGGGTTTGGTTTGTGTGTTGGACTGAGTGGTTATTGCAGTGTGCTCACGAGAAGCTGGGGACGTAGTATTTCATTATTAGTGTAGGTGTGTGTTGTTAGTTTTTAGTGTAGGTGTGGTTATTCTCTCCTTATGGGAGTTTTTCCACTTGTTTGAGTTTTTAGTTTTTATTTGGATTGGTTTCAAGCATGTCGGTTCCAAATGATGTTGCCACTGTCGAGTGCTTGGACTCTATTGCTGTTGTTTTGGTTTTTAGTGTAGGGTGCTTTGGTTAGCACTCCTCCTTGAGTCCACCTCTTTTTGATGGATTTGTAGGCTAGATAGCCTTCGGGTCTCATTTTGTAAATCTCCCTTTTTGGTATAAAATCTATTGTTTCGAAAAAAATGAGCAATATGGTTGGCCAATCGACGCATATGGAGGAGTTGTCTTCTTGCTGCTACTTCGTACAAAAGAGCCTCACTATCATTAGCCCAAGAGCAAATATAACCAAAGGTTTTATTGAAGTTGGCAACTGCTTGCAATGCCAACAATGAGTTCGTATCTATTGTTGGTTGGTATAGTGAAAGTTCTGCTTTAGTTTTAAATCAGTTTGCAATTTTGAATGAGAATTAAGATTAGTCAAAACTATTTGCATTTGATTTATGATAAATAGTGATGCAACTTGTTCTATCATTTTACATTATATATAATATGGTATATAAATATTGTTCACAACCTAGATAGAATTTAACTAACTATCGTGAGTTGTAGTGTAATTTTGGAATTAATCGATCTTGATAATGAATTACACTAGTACATTTAGAATGTATTGAGCTGACCACGAACAATAAGTTTGTTTTTTACTGACTAAGTAAACGAGCTAGACCTCAATTATTACTCGTACTATGAATCCATATGAAAATAAACACGCACATTTGTTCCATACTTACTACTTTCTCTTACACACACGGGGTTACAAATAACAACAATAAGTGTCATTTAGTAAATATTTTTATAGATTATTTCTGACATATAATTCTAGCGGTCCACTGAACTGCTACTAAATATTCATTTACTAGCAGTTAATGCAAACTGCCACTAAATGTCTGCAGCTAACGTACCTATTATTTGTAGTGTGATGGGATGATTAGGTATTAATATTGTTTATATGGTACGCTGTTAAATGTTTATGGACACTGTGTCCTAGTGCGCCAAGTTGATGACGTCCTCGAAATGAGCTCAAAATGTTTATCATGCTAAACCTTGTAGATTGATTAATTTGCAGCATAATAATAAGGTTCATTGGTCAGTAATTAAATTAATTAAGGACGTTATATGTTAATTATGGGGAGATAAACTGAGTGAAAAAATTTTTGGTGCCAAACTGTAATTTGGGGCTAAGAAAGAAGTTCAATAATGTATTTCTTTAGTGATATGAAATATATTCACATGTATCATATGTAGGCAAACTAGAACCTATGTTTCTTAACTCTGTAAGGAGCTATATTTTAGCACCTCTTTAAGGTCATGTTATAGCGTATAAATGCACCATGTCCCCCTCATAAACCAGTCAGTCTCTTGTCCTGAGAATCACATTCCCCACGTGAGAAAAAGAAAGATAGAGAAGTTTTAGAAAAGAGAGAAAAAGATGAGAGATTTATGAAGGGAAAACTCCAAAATCCGTCGCCAACTAAGACGATCGGAGAGGTGTCCAGAATACAGCAGAAAATCTCAAGGTCGTACGGCATGTTTGTCAAAATAGTAGTCACTAACTTTACTAAATGCAAAAAGCATCCAATAACTTATATAATAATGTAATGAGCCATACTTGCCGGAATTGCAACGTAAATTGCACAATCAACTCAATAGGCTTATGTAGACGCATAAGTAACAAAATAATTTCAGCTCACCGCCAAAAAAAAAAAGAAAAAAAATGTAGACGTACACATGGTAAAAAATTATTGAGAAATGCTACATTTTCAACCTAGTGTACAACTAAGTTGACAACACAAGTGGAAACATCCACTTATTCATTTTTCTATTTTTATTTTTTTGAATATTTTCACTTGTGTTGTCAACCTAGTTGTATACTAGGTTGGCAATGTATCATTTTCCAAAATTATTCTCATTATTTTTTATTTTTTATCTTCAACAAAAATACTGATTAGTTTTAAAAAATTTATATTATTCCTCGACTTACAGAGTTTGCCATTATGATTAAAGCAAACTCGCAAACTTACTACCACAAAAAAAAAAGAATCATAAATTAAAAATTAAAAATTATCAACGCATGAATTACTTATCCAACAAATGCACCGTGTAAGAGCATCTTCAATGTTCTAATATTGTTATAAATTAAATTTGACAACTGTCAATAAATTAAATAAATTGTGAACCATGTAGGAATAATGTTAAGTTCACAACTATGAAATATAAAAATCATCTCCAATGCACAATATAATCTAACTACAATACTATCTACTTACCAATTATTAAAATTTTAATAAAAAGTTATAAAATTAATTAAATAATTAAATAGCTTGAAAATGGCAAGAATATTTTTCTCTGTTCTCTTCATTGGCTAAATAAGATGTGGAGAAGAATGTGGATGAACCACATTCTTCTCTACATTGTAGATATTAATTATGTCCACATCACCACAACATTAGTGATCACATTGTGCATTGGAGGATGAAAAGTTGTGATATTATTAATATGTTGATGTGGCATGTAATTTACCACAACATTTGAGCATTGGAGATGCTGTAAGCATATATACTAGTTGACAAATACACCCAAAAATTATATTGATTAAGCCACAAGTGTATGATTGCGGTTTTGTGTTTAGCCTCACGGGGAATCCACTTTTGAGAACCTCGCTAGACAAACTACTCTCCCTGAAATATGTGACCAATGGCCTGTCCAACCCACCAAGTTTCTCACAATTTACAGCTCCTGAACATTAAAAGGAGGTACAAACATCAATCTAGGAAATGTAAATAACAAACAAGTGCCATAAAATAAGTGGACATATATATGGTAAAAGCGTAACGAATCTGACTAGTTGGCCCAACTCGTGTGCTGCGTAGCTTACTCTGTAATACTTTTGGTCTCGTGCTGGGGCTAATACATCTTTGGGCTGGGGTGGCAAAGTATGTGCATGCCAACAAATAACAAGATGCATCCAACATGAAACATTCATGTATCACGCACAAACACATTATGTTGCAAAGTATTTAAATTCCAATATTGAAGAAGTGGACATTCAGTTAACATATGAAGAACTTCTAGTGAAATCAAGTATTACTCAGCTAGAAAACCAGTGAATATTTTGTTAAAATAAGATGATTAATACTAAATCATAGATGGCGGGTGCATAATATAAACACAACTACAAGAAATCGTTCAAAGACAAACACACGACACTGCAAAACACCAAGAAATCGTTCAAAGACGAACACACGACACTGCAAAAGACGAACACACGACACTGCAAAACACCGCACACGCAAAGCAGCGATTAACTACAAGGCTAGTCTCGCTTATTTAATTTAGTTAAATATAGCAAAGGTTCATTCATTCTCCTGGAGAAATCCCAGGGTCAACCAAACCAAGATAAAAGTTAACAACATCAAGCCCCTCACTCAGGTTTCATGGTCTTCCCAACATCAATCACAAAACGGTACTTCACATCAGCCTTCTGGAGCCTCTCAATAGCCTTGTTCACGTAATCAGCCGAGATAAGCTCAATATCTGCAGTTATGCCGTGAGCGGCAGCAAATTCGAGCATCTCCTGCGTCTGTTTGACCGGCCCATTAGCACTCCCCACCACAGTCTTCCTCCCTACACATCATTTTTCAACAAATATATTCATTCACATTAAGAATTTCTTAGGTAGTGTAAGTATAAAGGAAAGGAAACACTAAACAAAAGAAAATTAAACAGCATATGTACTAACTAACCCGCAATTATGGGGAAGGCCGGGAGCTCGAATGGCTTTTCAGGAGCACCAACCAAAACGAGCTTCCCGTGAGGCTTCAACAGATTTAGAAACGGCACAAGCCCGTGATCTGCGGATATTGTATCTAATATACCATCCAATGTCCCTGCTGCAGCCTACCAAAACAAATAAAAAATAATAACAATGAAATTATAATGGAAAAATTGCATATTAATACACCACATTTCATGTTTTTGCAATTTAATCATCACCTTTACAATTTTGTAAATTAATACCACATTTACCATTTTTGCAAATCGATATATGAATGACGGTTCCGTTAAAAAAATCTAACAAAAATCTGACATGGAATTTACGTCGCTAAATGTCATGTCAAATTTTCGTTAACATGACCGTCGTTCATATATCGATTTGCAAAAATAGTTCCGTTAAAAAAATCTAACAAAAATCTGACATGAAATTTACGTCGCTAAATGCCATGTCAGATTTTCGTTAACATGACCGACGTTCATATATCGATTTGCAAAAATGGTAAAAGTGGTGTATTAATTTGCAAAATTGTAAAGGCGATTGATTAAATTGCAAAAACATGGAAGGTGGTGTATTAATATGCAATTTTGCCAAAAATAATTAAGGGGTGATTGTTCATGAATTGATCTAGAAATTAATTGGTTTTTTTTTAACTATAGTTACTTTTGAAAAAGTTGGTATGGTTAATTGTTAGTGGATATATTAAAATAATATTTAAAATAAAATAATTAAAGTTGATATGATGTAAAAGTAAGAAAAAAATGATTGGAAGTGGTGGTTAGTTAAAATTATGTGAGAAGATGAATAGTGAATTAAAGTTGATGTGATGTGTAAGAATGATTGGTTGAATGATTGGTTGATATTATTTAATTATATTGGTAATATTGGAGATAGTGAAGTTGAGTTAAATTTGAGTTTTGATTGAGTTTTTTTGGGGTGAATTGATAAACAATCACCCCCTTAATATCCAGTGTCCCGTTTAATTCATACCTGCATCTGCTCCGGATCCTTGCTAACCACAAAATGATCGACACCAAGTTGTTCAACAGCCTCCTTCCTCTTGCTCTCAGATGTGCTTATAACAGTCACCTTGGCCCCAAAAGCCTTGGCGAATTTCACGGCCACGTGACCAAGCCCGCCGAGCCCAGCTACCCCAATCGCCAAACCGGGCTTGTCGAGCCCGAAGTATTTGAGCGGGCTGTAGGTTGTAATGCCAGCACACAGAAGAGGGGCCCCTTTGTCGAGGGGAAGGTTATCAGGCCAGCGGAAGATAAAATGTTCGGTTGCAACCATGATGGTTGAGTAGCCTCCATGTGTGATGGAGCCATCTATGTCGGGAGTGCCGTAAGTGAGAACTTGTTTCGGGCAGTAATTTTCGAGATCTGACGAACACTGGTCACATTCTCTGCAGGATCTGACTAAGCAGCCCACGCCAACTTTGTCCCCAACTTTGACTTTTTGGACCTTGCTGCCAACCTCAGTTACCTCACCAACGATTTCGTGCCTGAAAGTTAAAAAGAAGCATTGATTTGGGAATTCAGAAGGGAAAAAGAAAAAAGGGTAAGGTAAATGATGAAAATAAGGAATGGTAACAAAATTGTATGATGATTATATCAAATTAAAGTAAAAAGATTGCTAGCTTCAACAGGACTCACAAATCCCTCTTAACAGATCCAGTACATAATGAGCCAAAAGAAAAAATAACACCACTAGATATCATTTAGGAAAATATAGCCTTAGTAAAGTGATTACATCAACTAAAGGGTTATCATCTTCCAGAATCATCTTTGAGCTTGGAACTGAAAATTTGAATATAATCTACCTGGGATGCAGTAGACTCTGGATCTAGAAGTGTTAATCCTATAACTCGCACGAAAAAGAATACACGTAGTACTTGTCAGATTCAATATCAGCTGAATGTGATTGATTGATTTTCATTTATCATTATCTTTCGACGATTTGTGATGTAACAATATAGGCAAAAACCGTTCAAAATGAGTTTTTTAGTTACCCAGAGATGATTTTGAAAGGAGCGGTATAATTAGTTTAGTTGTAAGTGGAATTTTAAGTTTGTATAAAAATAATTTGATGAAAAAGTAAGAGATAAATGATGTGAAATGATGGTTAATTAAAATTATGTGAGTGAATAAATAGAGAATTAAAGTGATGTGAAGTGATGATTAGTTAAAATTATATAAGTGAATATTGTGGGTTGTGTTGAAGTTTAGTTAGATTGAGTATGAATTAAATGTGGATGAAGAAAATTTATAACAAATACACCCTTAATAGATTTCCCCTACGAGAGAGAGAGACAGTTACAATCCTTGTCTGTTGACCAATTCAGTGTCAGCTGAAGGTGATTTGTGATGTTAAAATATAGACAAAAATCCATTGGTGCATACAACAATAGTTTTCCCATCAAACAAACACATACGAGAGAGGGAGAGAGATACCCAGGTACAAGAGGGTACTGAGAAAAGCCCCACTCGTTCTTGAGCATGTGAATGTCTGAATGGCAGATTCCACAATACAAAACCTTGAACTGCACATCATAGTCGCCAGTGGCCCTGTATCACCAAACCAAAAAAAAGTTAACAAATTAAAACATAAAAGATATCGATTCAGTCAGTAACCAAAAACCCACAGATCTGACTATGACACATGCAGATCGAAAAGAAAAAAGTGCAAGGGGGTAAACAAGCACATATAGTTATGCGTCACGCAAAAAATTACGAGAATTAAAAGAAATTCGAAAGTGCACCACACCGGGAAAACGAAATAAAATAAAACCAAAATAGATCATACGAATATCGATTCAAGCAGAACAGAAACCAAAAGATAGATCTCCAATATGCAGATCGAAAATAAAAAAACAAAAGGGAAGAGATTAAGGTTTCACTGAAAAGGAAAAATGGGAATAGATCAGATCCTTAACCTCCTCGAGAACTTGAAAGGAGAAAGAACACCGGAAGTGTCTCTGGCAGCCCATCCGAATACCTGCACGGAATGCTCTGTTTCTGGATTTTTCGCCATTTTCTGATTGTTTCCTTGTTTATTTTTCTTTTTTCTTTGGGATGAGTATGAGAGTGGGTTTCGAATGGATTGGACTTTTGTAATGGGGCACAGTGAGACAGGCCAGTATAATATATAGAAGTGAGAAGCAATTATTTTTAGTTGGATTGGTTTGATTGCCACCGTGATACGCTATATTCATCGACGATCCAACCGAACTCAATAATAAAAAATTATTTCTCTTTCCTCCACTTACATAATCCAACTTTTAATAACTTATATATTTTTATCCCCAATTCAACCCAACATAGTATTTATTTAATTTTTATTTATTTATTAAATATTATCTACAATAGATTTTTTGGTATTGTTTTAGTTGTGAAATTAAGAAAAATAAAAGAGATGATAAAATTAATAAGGTATGACTAAAAAAAAGTGAAAAGAGAGAAGTTTCAATTGTGTTCCAAAACATATCAAGAGTGGTATCTCTGTTTATAGAGAATGAAAAAATACGAATTTTGATAATTTTATTTATTTTTTTAATGTAAAATAATATAAATAATTTGAGTTATATTTATCTATCACATTGAAATTAAGAAAGGCCAATCATAAAGGGACATGTGTCCCATTCCTTATCCAATCCCAATAATAATTTAATTAAAAAATAAAAAAAAAGGAAAAAGAGTTNTAGGTTGGGTCACCGATAAAGATAGTCTAACAGGTACAATTCAAAATCAATCAATACACCATTATTTCAAACAAAATTTATTCCAACTCTGCTTTCACTCAAACGTTCAAAAGTTTTAAAGGTTGCCATTTATTGTAGGTCGTTTTCTTTTTTTATAGAGGGATGTTTAGTTAAAATTCAAAGTACTTACTAAATGAAAGATCATGTCATTAATAATTAATAAATATAATGACAATAAAATTTATATATTATTGAACACTTCCTACAAGGTTCATGGTTTGATTCTTTGGCACGTCATCGTTGCCACAAAATGGGATTTTCAAACTATTTTTGTTTGTGACACGAAAGACAACAACATACAATTGATCATGATTAAACACTGGTTTCTTCAGAAATAAGCTCACATGCTATAATGATTGTCCTTGTCACTTATTTATAGTCATGGAAAGAAACCGCCATTGGCATATGAACACCACGAATTATACCAGTTATGCGGCTCCCCTAAGAAATAAAGAAAATAAGTTAAAACACAAATTAACCAATATTGTAATTGAAAAAAATAAGTAAGCAACAATAAAATAACCTCTTCATCGTGGAAAACAATCTCCAAATAGCTTTGATCTGCAGCATCATAGAATCTCTCGAATATACGAATGACTCGAAGTTTTAGCATGAGTCTCTTATTTCTCTCAAACTGTCTGATGAATCCAAAAGGTTGGTCCATGTCTATGTTTAAGGTTGAGTGAGTTTGAATTTGTAGTAAAATAATATTTAAACCTGATAAAAGTTGATTTGATGTAAAAATATGAGAAAGATGATTGAAACTAATGAATAATTAAAATTATATAAGTTGGTGAATTGAAGTTGTTGTGACTTTGTGATGGGTGAATATGATTGTTTAATATTATTTAATTATGTTAATAATAATGAAAAAAGTTAATAAAAGTAATGAATAATTAAAATTATATAAATGAGAGAATTGAAGTTGTTGTAATTGTGAAGATGATTGATTAATATTATTTTATTATATTAATAATAATGAAAATGATTCGATTTAGATTTTGATTTATAAAAATTATCTTTGACGACTAGATAGTATTCATTACACTCACACATGACTGGACATTCAATTAAAAATTGTTTCCATGATCAATGAAATCCGGTACATCATTCTTGAAAGAGCATCGACAGTTGACAACTCACATAAAAAACAAATAGGTGGACCCCACTATCCCAATTTCAAAGTGGTTGTCAAATTAAAATTCTCAAAGAATACAATAATAATGCCATGTGTGCCAATTATATAAATTATGAACCGAAAAAGTTGTTTCTCTGCGTCACATTTGTCCACTTTTAAGACCGACTTCCTTTATATAAATATGACCAACTTTTCAAAAAATTCCTAAAACTTGATTATGGTTGCAAAAACATCTCAATATGACCACCGTTTCGAAAATTACTAAAAGAACTCGATTATGTTTACAAAATAAATCAATCTTTGGCAATTGGATATTTTTTATTGAATTTATTAGTTAAAATAAACTAATTTTAAATAAAATTTATTATGTAAAGAATGGAGTCAGAATTTAAATTTTTTATTAAATAATATATAAAATGAAATATTTAAATTTGATGTGACATAAAAGTAGAAGAAATGTTATTCAAAATAATAAGTGTGTATTTATTTATAAATTTTTTTAATCCATAATTAATTTATACTCAAAATCTAACTCAACTTTAATTTGGTCTCACTATCATCAATATTATTAATATAATTAAATAATATCAACCATTCATTCATTCGTACATATCACATCAACTTTAATTCACTATTCATCTACCCACATATTTTAACTAATCATTATTTCTCATATATCTCTCATACTTTTAAATCAACTCAACTTTAATTATTTTATTTTTAATATTAACTCAAAATTTTATTAACAACCAACAATATCACATTTTTTTAAAATTAATCCTGGTTAATAACAAAAATTATTTGGAGCAGATATATTTGTATCCAAGCACGCTCTTAGTCGTTAAAAATATTTGAGTTGATCAATAGTAAATTAAAGTTGATGTGATTTGAGAAGATGAATAATTGGTATTGTATAATTATATTGATAATTTCGTTTAAATTTTAGTTGAATTTTAAGTTAAAGAATGTAAAAAAATAAATTATTCCGGAACCGTTAATTTTTGTTGCCAATCATGCCCTGATTATTTACCGCAAAATGGTATCCGGTGGCTACGTGAACGTGACAAGTGGAGTATGTATTTCTTAAAAAAGAAATGCAAATAGACTAAACTCTCACTAATGTATCCAGAATTTTTTAATCATTATAACATCCAGAGCACCATTTTTCTTTTTCAATTTGCCCCACCATTGAATTTTGTTTGAAAATTCTCACCAACAATTATATTGACTATTTTGTTTTTATTTTTTTTCTTTTAAAAAAATAAAAATTGCCCCACCATTGAATCTAGTTTCAAATTTGTCTCAGCAACTAATATTGACCTTCTTGGCCGAGTGATAATTTTAGGATAAAAGCCTTCCTCTAAACTATCACAATTTTTGTTCATATCCGAGTACTCATTTGTTTCACTTTGCCAATAAAACCCCCGAGTAAAACTGATTCGTTCATATCTATTTGGTAGATATGAATTATACACATTTTATATATCAATTTGCTATAAATCTTCCAATATGACTAGCACTATGTGCTAAGAATTTAATAATAGCTCTACCTAAAAATGTCATGATGTCCTAAATATATTAAATTTTATTAATTAAGGTTTGCAGAGGATAAGGAAAATGATCAGCCTCTAGTGATATACCTCCCTCCTATTTTTATTATTTGTCATCCTAGCTTAATTGATCATTTGTTAAATAAATGTCGTTTTGACCATTTTGTACATATTTTTTCATCATTACCCTCATCTAACTAATAAATACTCTACGTCTTTTTATATTCACTCTCCATCTTCCTCAAAACATCAATCTCTATCCTCATTAATGAGGATTATTATTAGTAAAAAAATATTCTTAATTATTGTACAATTTCTCAAAACGACATTTATTAAAAATAAGAAAGAGTACCATATTTCTATCAATTTTTCCACGCCACATGCTTTTAATCAAAGCACGGAAATTAGAAACAGCCTCGTGCAACACATGCACTGTTTTGCGTTTGCCGGTAAAATTGTTTTCATTCATCTCTTGAAAAAATGCACATACGTGAAGGATTTTTAATAATAATGCAAATTGCAAGCCATTTCTTGTGGAGCTGATTTTTTTTTTTTTTTCTATTTTAGTTTGTTTTTCTCTCTTTTTGTCGGCGTTTTTTCTTTCGTTTTTATTAAATTGATATGAATTCACGTGTTAATAACTAAAATAATTAACAATAGTGTTAGAATATCACTTGTGAGTTGTCCCACATCATCCACACATGAAAAATAAACCCATTTTATAAGACTAATGTGTTACTTCTCCTTCCACCAATTAGTTTTGTGATGGAACCCCACTTGGGTTTCATATGAATTTTTCCGGATTCATGGCCCACTTCATGATAGTGGGCCCCCACCCGTTTTCCCTCAGTTTCTGTCAAATAGTATTCGTTTTTATTAATTTGCTGCACCATTGCTGAAAATTTGAAAACAAAAATGCTCCTTCTCCCAACACTTCCCACCGCATGAAATACTTCATGATGTGTCTTCTGACGTGGCAGTCTATTTTCCTTACTTTTATTAAAAAATTTCCAATCTCTCTCTCCTCTTTCTTTCGTTCTTCTATCTTCCCCAATTTTTTTCTGTCCAATTTTTGTTCGCCGCCTCCATTTGTAGTCTCGTTCTTCCTCGGATTTTTTTCTCGATTTTTTTGGTCTGTTAAATTTCCTTCTTCTCCGTTCATAATCTCCGTTTTCCCCAATTTTTTTTTGTCGAATTAATCTGTCGAATGCAATTCCTTATTTTTTGCCAAATTGACCAATTCTTCACCAGAAGCTCGAGCAGGGGCCGGAGGAAGAATTGTGATAGGATGCCGAGAAAGTGAGTGGTGGATACCTTGATGCGCGTGTGGAGACCAGCGGCTCTCAGGGAGGCGAGCACGCGACTCATGGCCGGAACCACCACTGAGGAGATGTTGCCGGGCGACTCGGTGGCCTCGGCCAGACCGTGGGTGATGCAGGTGGCTTGGTACTAGGGAAGAATGGAGTTTTTGAGCCAGGTGTCGACGTTCGATTGGAACTGGGAGAAAACAAGGAGGTCGGGGTTGGGGATGACGATGGTGAGCTCGATGCCTGTGTTGGAAAAGGCCTTGAGGACTTGGATGTTGGAGTCGTATATTCGTACGTATCTGATGTTGTGCTGCTGGATGAGCTGCACAGCTTTGTCTGGAGTCGGGAAGTCGTCTGAAGAAGATAATTTACAGGACAAGATCCGACCATTGTGGGGGCATTACTTCGAGAACACTTGAGGCCTGATTTTCGTCGCTGACAGTAATGATCGGGATCGTGTTGTTGAGGCGAGGGGTGAACTGCATAGAATGTTGAATGAGGATGAACTTAGGGATGTAGTGCTTCTTGTTTTTGCAAACAAACAAGATCTTCCAAATGCAAGAGCACCTTTGCAACCTCCGATCAAGGGCTATACGAGGGGCTTGACTGGCTCTCAAACAACATTGCTAACAAGGCAAAGAAAAATGTGTTGGGAGAAATTAGATGGTCATCTCTACTTGAGGAGATTGGATTTGCGTTTCAGCACTTGTAATGAGACTCAATTGTGTTTTACTTTTCTATGATTGTGTTATTTCTAAGCATGTTCAGAATCTGCTAAAAGAGAACAAAATGTGACTTTCAGTTTTAGATTGAAGTGATCATTAGCCATATTTTGTTANGTTCTTAACCTTAAATGTTCAAACAAAATCAAGGATATGACATTTTATAGATCTTCTAGTTTCAAGAGTTAAAATGACAATCACAACTTGCAGTCAATAACAAGTCTTGACCAAACATAAGAAAGATTCAAAAAGCAAATTCTGAACCTCCCAACATCAACCAAAATCATTCACTAGCTTGATAATCCAAAAAGGTGAAAAACATATCAAAATTCTCAAATCAAAAGATAAACATGTTCTTTAATAGCAAAACAAAATATAAAAAAATAATATTCTCAAGTCAGGTGGAAACAAAATGAAGCCAAAACTTGTTTTCACTCTTAGAAAAAAAGATAATCTACACTAATAGATCATGTAGTGGGGTACTGATCTTTATTTAAATCAAAACATCGATTTTCCTGCAAAAGTAACAAAAAAAGAAAAAAATGAGATAAAATTAAGAAACAATGTAAATAATAAAATTGGGTTTATACAAATATTGTTATAACATGTGATTATATTAAATAATAGTTACCTGTGTCAAATCTTCTGTCTGTAATGTATTATTCCCTATAGCATAACTTCTACCCCATAGTGGATTAAAAAGACCCTATAAAACATTAAGATATTATACTTACAAAATTATTAATTTGAACTTTGTTTTTAGTAATGTAAGCCGTAAAAATGATAATAGAACACACATTTTCTTGAAGTTGAATCGAACTACTCTCGGGATAAATGGGTGAAGCAAGCGGCCTTGGCATGTAATACCCTCCAAAAGCTGGAGATATACATGAACAAGTGAATATATCATGCTTCAAATTGTTGTCAAATTGAAAATAAAAACCAGTTATCCATGCAAGTTAAGTCTAATGAATTGTGTAAGACCTCTTAAAAATCATCAACGCCCATGAAAACAAGTTAATGGAAGTTTACCTTTTCTTGTGGTTGAATTGAACTATTTCTGGGGTAAATGCATGAATCTGGTGGCCTTGGCATGTAATATTCTCCATAAGTTGGAACTTGATTAACCTATCAATTATACACAAAAACAAAGACATAACACACTTCAATTTTTTAATAATTTAAAAAAAAAAAATATAGATNTTTGGACCAAACATGCTATTGGCTTCCAATGTTTTTGTAGATGCCTATCAAAAATAAAAAATAAAAAATAAAAAAAAACATAAAAATGTCAATTTATATGCATTACTAAAATAAAATTATAATAATATTTTCCACTTATACCTTTGTGGATTTTAATCTATTTGGTTCGCTCTCTTTAAGCTTCTTGTTTTGATTCTTTTTTTTCAGCTTCTGAACCACAACTTCCAATCTCGAAATTTTCCTTTTTGTTGCAGGACGCCCTTTCCCTCGAGTGACCATAGGACTCAATACTTTATTTGTCCTACTTACCACTTGTTGTTGCTCAGCAAGATCTTGTGGCTGTGAAGAAGATGTTTGAACAATTTTCTTTTCGTCATTGGTGATCTTTAACTTTAATTCCCGTATGCCTTTCATCACCAACTCAAATTTTTCTTCATCGTCCGCAGCAATAACGGCAACCTCATGGAGTGCCTTGCACATTTTTTCACATCGTTGTATTTGCTGACTCAAAGGATTGTATCATATTCTCACTAAAGTATATCTTCGTTTTAGATCCTTTCTCCATCGTGGCAAAATATAGCGAGGATGAACTTCATTTATTTTCCTTGCAATTAGCACCGATACGGTATGTCTACAAAGAATTCCTCTGAACTCGAACAAGCGGCAAACACAATTAACTTCATGAGTAGATTCATCAAAATGGATAGTAAAAGTAACAACTTTTCTAATGTCGCCAACTTTCACATCTTCTTCAACTCTATACTCATATACGGAATTTTCAGTCTTAACTAAAGAAGGTTGAGAATAAAATTTGTCCCTCAACTCATATTAAAATTCTCTAAAGTTCACATTTGTATAAGCACTTTGAAATTGCTTTTCAATATCATAATTGCTCAAGCAATCAAATCGAGAATCCCAAGATTCATAATATGCTACAGTCTATTTCTCGACCTTTCTTTTCAAGGCTTGTTCATACAAAGCAACAAATTGCTTCAAAGTGGTTTTATGATTAACAAACCCTTTAAAAAAGCATTCATACCTTCACTTCGTTGTGTGGTCGACATACCCGCCCAGAATGAACTTTTCACATATGCAGGAACCCAACGTTTTCTATCAGCATATAATCTCTGCAGCCATTCATTATCATGAAGATTATAGCCAGCAATCATTACTGACCACCCATTGTCAAACTCATCTTCAGTAAGGGCATCATAAACAACTGCTTGCATGAAATTCTTGATGTCCTCATAGTTGGAATGTCCACTCAATTTTTCTGGATTTTTTTTCATTATATGCCATAAACACAATCTATGTCGAGTACTATCACCAAAAACAATTTCAATAGCATTTTTCATAGAGTTGCATTGATCAGTGATAATACCCTTAGGACGACATCCAGACATGCACTTTAGCCACGACTCGAATAACCACACAAATGATTCTGTGTCTTCATTAGTCAACAATCCACAACCGAACAATACATATTGTCCATGATGATTCACGTCGACGAATGGAGCAAAAGGCATTTTATACTTATTAGTTAAGTAAGTCGTGTCAAACGTGATTACATCTCCAAAAGCTTCATAAGCAGCTCTACTTCACCCGTCTGCCCAGAACAAATTTCTAATACGAGATTCCTCGTCAATGTCCATGACAGAGAAATTTTTTTTATCAACTTCTTGCATTTGAGCAAAATACTTGCAAACTGCTTCAACATCTCCAACACCGAGCTTGCTTCTTCTTGCTTTCTCGATATGGTTGCGACAATCTTTCTCATTGAAGGTAACATTCTCATATCCGTTAGCTTCAACAACAAGAGAATGATAATTCTTACTTACACCAATCCCAGCTTCATCATTTATCTCGAGCCGTCTTTTCACACGATCATCTATCTTTCTGTTACATCGAAAATGACGTGCTTTTCCGGGGCTTAACAAATGGTCATGATCAAGATGAACTGTTGTCACTGAATATTCCCATCATCACACAATGTCAATCTTATCTTGGCTTTACAACCCGTTTTTGTGGAAAGTTTGGAGGCAAATGAGTTCTTCCCCATAGATTTTTTCTTTTGATCATTTTTAACACATGCAAAAGTAAAATATCTAACAACACCATCATCTCCTCGTTTTGAGCTTCTTTTCATCACACCAAAACCCTTCTGGATCCCATAATTAGAGTAATATGAGTATGCTTCTTCCTGAGATTTAAAAACCATCCCCAACGTTGGTTCTCCAATAATCTCATTTTCATTCATTTTCTGTAAAACTAAAAGATCATAGAATGTTAAAATATGAATGAATACTATATTAAAAAAAATTATTTAAATATTTCTAACATACAATTAAACACATAAATATTAGTTTAAAAAGGTTCAAATTAGTAGACATACTGACAAATAACATATATTTCGAAACAGTAACATTTTCAACTAATATTGAAAAAAAGTTGGAAAAAAACTAATATGATAAGATAAAGTGATGTACATATGTCAACAACAATAACCAGTGTATATAGAATTTTTTATATATTGCAAATTCTAAAGTTATAACTAAAATAATATAATAAATAAAAAGCTGGTAAAAAAGTAGTAATAAAATAATCGAACCTGGATAGCGCAGTAAGAAAAGGCTATGGATTGTGGCTGGAAGGTAGAAATTTGTATGCACTGGAAAAGTGGTTTACGGCGGCAGTAGGTGAGAAAACCTTTGAGTAAGAGTTGTTTTTTAATTAACACAATTTTAATAAAATTCAGCTTTTTTTCCTTGTCCCAAAAATAAGAAAAAAATTGATGACTTAAACTGACACATAAGGGAGTAAAATTTATGCGGGGTAAAGAGACGGGGGCTGCAGCGGTATTGATTTGAAGATGCCAACGTAATAACTCCATTTCCATTGATATATTTTGCACTACATAATCTCTTGAGATATATGATGGGGAACTATCTTAACCAAACAACACTAGAATCATGAANAGAAAGAAAAAAAAAGAAAAAGAAAAGAAAGATACAAAAATCTTAAGCCACTACTTACACATCCAAAATCTTCGAGGAAAAATTTGACATCAGCCTGAACTTTAACCCCACAAAGCAACCAAGCCAAGACAAATGCTAACTATCATATAATAACACTTCTGGTGATGGTTCATTATTTGGATACGGGCCCTCCAGCCTAATATAATCATACATGACGCCTATAAAAGGATTTCTTCCTCTTGATTGCTTAAGATAGATTATGTTTTTTCCATTCACAAGCTGTAATCCCGACAAATCGACACTAAAAAGCCAGTACATCCCGTGATTACCGTGTCTCGCAATTGCATTGTCCTTCCCTATCTGCCCTGTCGTAAAATGAGGCTGCCTTTTGTACGGGTCGTTAATCCACATCTAGTAATAACCAATACAAGGAAATGAGTTACATATAAAAAATTTAACTTAACTCAAAGATTATTATGATAAATCTATTTTACAAACTTGTATTTCGGCCAAGGTGGCAGATGCCAGAGCAATCCTGAGCGTGTATGAATCCTTCCTTGCAACATTTTCCAAATCAAACACAATTTTCCATGTTGTTGGTGTATACTCATTTTTGTCTGTCTTCCTATACAAGTATCGGTTGAAGTTTTGATTATGAAAATCCGTAAATAGCAGCCAGGTTCTAAAATTTTAAAAAAGTGGACTAGATAGATAGTAGTACCTGTTAACATGAGCATAAAACCAGTCTTTTTTGTAATCACTGACTCCTACCAGGTATGTCAGATCATCTGTAGGATATAAATCTGTGTATCTGTCCCATAAACCATATTGTCTGAACCTGGATCAATAATAATAATATGATTATTTACTATTATGATTAGTATTATAGTACAAAAGAAATTATGTTCGCATTCTGTGAAGTGCTCCTTACTTTTCTGCATGGTTAATATATAACTTGTTCGTAAAATCAGGATTTGGATCAGGAATGTAGAATTCGGATGCCATTCGATCAGGTATCCCGATTTCCCATAAAGTGGGGCCGTTTCTCGGAGGATGATAAACAAGCTCACCTATATGAATTTCATCCCCTGCTTGATTGGAAATGCAAGTAAAATTTATTGTTCGAACAGCAACCAACAAAAAACTTACGTTATGTTTAGTGTAAAATATGTAATCAAACAGACCTGATCGAATGACAACACTTTTATCATGTCTAAAGTCTCCAATAAACCCCGGAACAAAAGCGTACAAATCGTAAGTGTCGGGTCTAATGTTTCTTATCGTGAAGTAACCATTTTCATCAGTTTGTGTCCAAAATTGATAGCCCTGCAAAAGTGTTAAGGAAAAAAATGAGAGGATTAGGACTAGTTAAATAAATGGATATAGGTATTTACAAGAATTGGATTTTTTAAGAAAAAAACCTCGGCATCATCTTGCCAAGACCCAATGTCTCCAGGTCGAGCCAAACCCACATAAGCAGATTTTGCCGGCAAAGGGTCTTTGTTAATGTACCAGTCGTTGACTAATAAACGACCAATAAGTGTACCGCGTTGATTTGAATGAGGGAAGTCGTGCGATAATGGGAAGTCGTAGGGCCATTTCTCGGTTTCTGCAGACATCTGATTTGTGAAAAAATTTGGGGCATAATGTGTTAGTTAGTATGCGGAAATTAAGGCAAGAAAATCAAGAACTTAGTTTTATTTTATGATAGGTAAAAAGTAAAAACAACAATTTTGCATTTACAAAAAAAAAAAAAATAAAAAAAAAAAAAAAGAAAAAAAATGACCTGATTTTTGGCATCTTCCCAAAGTGAACTTGGTTTGTCACCCGAATCAGAGTTTAGGTATATGAAAACGGGGCCGAAGACCTTTTTCCAGTGCTTCCCATCGCGTATTCCAACTCCAAAAGTTGGACTCGCATAGTGACCACTAAAGAATATCTGTTTCTCGTGCATAATTTGAAAAGACAATTAGAATATTTGAAAAGATGACTAGAGAAAAGTTTCTCTAGCCATGTTTGGCTTTATTTGGATGTTGAACTTTAAGTTAGAAGGATTAAGAGGCACTTACTGCTAGGGAAGTTGGGCCAGCATGAGAAGTAAGATCGGGTTTTACAGGACCACCTGCTCGAAACTCGTCACTTGGTGTTATCACCCAGAATCCTATGTGAGGGTGCACACTAATCCAACCGTGCACATGACTGTCCTTGTTCTCACACGAGTATTGATATTTGTCGTCCACCTGGATAGTTATTTTACAGTTCACAATCCAAATATAGCTATATATATATATTTGTTTTCTTTTTAGTTAATTATTGAACTAGCCTCTACCTCTCCTTTGAGTTTAGGATTGCTGGGATTTCTTAATAAAACTGCTTCTTTATAATCAAGCGTACGGCCTTTAACCCTGTCATCGTCTGTTGGCATGATCCTCTGCTTGTCATCGGATATGGCCATGTAACGAAACCTAATCATGCAATTTCATGATTATTAAAACTGACAAAATCTTGCAAAAACTTAAATTTTGCGTAATTCATCATAGATCCACCCGTTACAATCAAATGTTTGAAATATTTGCTCAGAACTGAATCCTTACATTATCTGGTTAAGCTTAAATGCGATTCTTGCTTCATCAATGTTCAGATCAGGCCAACCTTTTTTGTGTTCGAATATTGCATATGTGTAGAACCCGGAAGCTCCTGAAATCATTATGAACCTAAAGAATGAACTTAGTATAACTCAGACACATTGTTAAACGCATAAAAGAAAACATCTAAATGTGTACACTAGAAAGACCTTTTATCTATATTGAGGGGATAACCACTTTCAGCAAGCTCCTCGTTCCATTCTGTCATGAATGAAACTTCTATATGCTCTTTAGTATGTGATATGACCCTGAAGCTCGTGCTGTGGAGACTGCACAAATGCAGGGGAAAAAGAAAAAAGAAAAGCTTGGATAATTTCATAATCACATTTTAAATTGTAACAAAATTATGTTTTAGAATCCTCTGAAAAACCAAAAAAAAAAGGAGAAATGTTTTTTACACGTCAAAATTGCTTATGTTTTTCTCTGGCCGACGCCATACAATATCCCAATACCTGCATTAATCACATATTAAACACGATGAGCGATATAAACCTTTTTCTTATTGAAAAACAGAACTTGCACTAAACGAAAATCCCTCCTGAAACGTTTAGCAACTTCCCAGAACATAGACAGTAAGTAAAGGCTAACATGGCATTTTAATCAAAACATAGACAACTTTTGCTTACCCTCTTTTTGTTTCTTTATTCTTATATTCGAGGACATTTTTGACTCCTCTGTATGCTATACCAGAGATCAAGCCAGTCGGTTTTGTTAACTTGAGGTTAACGATGCCATTATCCATCACGACCTGCATGCAAAAGGAAGTCTTTAATGAAGAAGAACGAAGTTCTAACTCGGATTTTCTTTAGCCACTCTTTCAGTTACCTTGTACAAAAAATGATGTGCAAAAGGTACATTAGAAGTATAAAAGTTCTTTCAGTCATTTATTCAAACAGATTAAAGACGGTTTTCAATGTAATCAAATGTGGGCTCACATGGTGATGCAGTATACGGAGCTTAAGTGGAGAATGTGACCATTTACCACTCTGTGCAGCCGACCTGCATAAGTTCTCGTTAGAACTTTTATATACCAAAAACAAACAATTTTACATTTATGCAGCTAACTAGAGATAGTATTTCATTTCAATAACACTAGTACGTAACTCGTGCAATGCACGAGATGTAAAATTTTAAAGAATAATATAACCTCACGTGCATTAGGATCGAAATTGAAATCATTAAAATACATAGGAACATTGTTGAATCATAAAAAGTTCGGTAACAATCATATATTATTAAAAACCTCCTTGTACACAACATTATGAGTTTGATTATTTGGTAACTCCTCATTATCACAAACTAATATTTTCAAAAGAGACAAATCCTAAAAATCAAACTAATTTTTTGGTGAACAAACTAATATTTTAGGATTGGTGAACAAACTAATATTTTAGGATTTCTAGGATTTGTCTCTTTTTGGTGAACAAACTAATATTTTAGGATTTATAGGATTTGTCTCTTTTTGGTGAATAAACTAATATTTTAGGATTGATTATATGAATAAGGTTACCTGTTTTTGGTGTTCTTTTCATTCATTTTCATTCAAACAATCCGATTACTTGTATAATGAAATCCGAATCTTAAGCCGAAATATTTAAAAAAAGAGTTTTTAAAAATTGAAAAGTCAAGGCAATCAGTTCAGATTAATTAAAGGTCAAAGAATATCCGCTCCTTGAAATAAAGACGTGTGGTATCATTAATCAAATATCCGGTTATTGATATAGTGGTTACCAAAAAATAGAACGCGATAAAGACGCTTCATGGAAATATCAATGGGATAAGGTCATAACAGATCGCTATACATTTTAACGATAAAAGCTCAGATGGAATGATTTATGATATTTATGTCGTAATTAATGAATTAATTAGATGTGTGAAAATGACATAATTAATGAGAAGTGTGAAAAGGACATAATTAAAGAGAAGTATGAAAAGGACAAAAACTTACCAGTTTTAGAAAATATTTAATGCAAATCCGACATTGACCATAATTTGACCTACTATTTTGGATAAATGTTAATTCTTATTATATAAGTATAGATTATTTTAATACAAGTAATTTTATTTTATTTTTTAAAACTAAATTTACAAGAATTAGTAATACAAGTTTACTAAATTACCCTCATCTCGTTCTTTTGTATTAATTTTAAGCATTCTGCCTATATATGCATATTTTTTCAGGAATAAGTATTGACATATATGGTGCTTCCTAATCTATGTATAGAAATCTTTGTCCTTTAATTCTATACTATACAATACTCGTGTATTACACGAATGCTTGTTAAAAAAATTATATTTAAAATTAAGAAAAATAAATATTTTTTTGAAAAACTATATTATTATTTATATTTAAAATGGCACTCGTGACTTATAAGACTTACCATCTCATGTTAAAATAATTTTTTAACTTATATCATATAATTACTGTGTAGTTAAATTTTAAATAATTATATTTTTTTCAGTTAATATTTGTAGTAAATAATTTTTTATTATAAAGATGAATATAGTTATTTATTTTGTATGTACAATATAGTTGTCAAATTGAAACTCATCAAGACATGATTAAATTATTTATAAAAAATTAATAATAAATAAAAAGGTTATAATTTTTAAATATGTTATATTTTAAGTTAGTAAATTTTATTTAATTATAAAAGAAATATGAGAAAAATGAAATGTTTAAAAAAAAGTTACGCCTTATAAACCACTTCTGGAATATGAAATGATACTAAACCATAATTAGTGCTATTAAAAAGGATCATAAGTATCTAGTATACTTATAAATATTTCAAGCCTAATTTTTTTGGATTCTAGGTAAATTAAAATACATCAAAACCAAGTGACAACCCAAGAAAACTCGCCACATAACATAAGAACCCGAAGTGTGCGAGCATGTAACTTAGGCTCAGCACAATCGAAATTGTATATAGCTAGGGGCATAGTTTTTGAACTTGGAGTCTAAACCGGTCCGGATAGGTTATTCAGACCGAGTAACAATGGACCCGGTCAAAACTCCGTCAACCCGGAGAATTGACCCGGCTGGGTCAACCGGTTGACTCGGCCCTTATACTTTCATTTTTAAAATATTTTTTTATTTTAAAAATAAAAATTATGTATATATATATTTATATGATAAATATTTATTATGAGATACAATATTATTAGCATTTTGATGTACAAATTTTAATATGAAAAATATTTAATTTTATTACTTTTATGTATATTTATATAACAAAAATGCTATACATATAATTTTAAAAATTTTAAAATTAATTATCCGGTTCAATAATTGACCCAGTAATCCGATGGTTGACTCGGTGACCCAATGACCTAGAAACCTGCCGAGGAAGATTCACGGGCTGGATTTAAAAACTATGACAGGGGGATATTAATTTCTAATGAGTTGGAGACTTTTATCATGCCTATTACTTTTTAACATTACAAAATACATTATTGACTCAATTTTATTTTAAACTGTGCAACTTTTTTAATTTGTTATTAATTTTCTATGTATAATATATCAAATTAATTATCTTTCGATAATTTTATATTTGATGTTCATATATATAAACAAAATATATGTACCTTTAGGAACGGGTCTTTGGCGAGCATGTATCATTTTAAATAAAAATACTAATGTATATTTGAAGTACTTACAAAATCAAAATATATTTTTTAAGTTCTTAAGTATAATTTTCTTAATTAATACTCGTATATTACAACAACCTATTTAATATTATTTGTAAATCATATCAAATTATTAATCACTATTCTTTACAGGAATTATTTCTTTTTTCAAAGTGATACTACATCAAATTACACCCTACTTTAGATAAATTGCATTCTGGTAAAGACGATTTCTGGCGAGTGTATTGGTGAGTTGTACTGTTGAGTTTCATCGAGTCCAACTTCAACGAGTATGAATTTGACCAAAACCTCCACTAATTCAACATTTTCACAGTATATTTCACCATTTCTGACTAAAGTAATTGACTCCAGTTAAAAGACATACAAATTAATGATAAGAAAATATATTCATATAAATATAAAAGAAAATTAGTTTTGTATGCCCATTATAAGTGTTAGATTTTTTGTTTTAAATTTCAAAAAGTTGATCAAATAGCCAATAAGTTTTGAATTTTATACAAAATTAATATGTTCATTTATTTAGTAATACAAAAGACAAAAAAGTTTCTTAGTCAATTTATAACTTTTTTTTAATAATATATAGATATAAATATAAATTTATGAATTGCCTTCTCATTAACAATATATATAGTTTGTATGAAAAACTTGATAAAAACTAAATAGTTATTAAATTAAAAAAAGAATATTTCCACATTTGAATGTGTAGAATTAGTAATACTAAAAAAAGTTTACGCTATTTTCAAATTTTGGTTTTTCATTAAACATAATAATTATTTTATAATTTATAATTGATTCATGATAATTTAATTAATAACTGATTTATGATAATTTAGATATAATTATAATTTTAGTTTAAATATTCCATAAGAATTATAGGATGTTAGATTTTTTTAAAAGTTTAAAATTTTTAATAAGAATCATAGAATTTTAAAATAAAGTAATAATATTTGGCGAGAAAATTTTAATTATATATATATAGACTACTTTCTCTTTAGTAATAGGGAGGTAGTCAATCTTAAAAAAACAAAATGTGAATAACTAAAGTATAAAAAATGGATAAAATAATATAGTATGAAAAAAAAAAGAATAATTATTAGAAAAGTAATATTAATCTAAGATTGATCAGGATATTCCTCATATAGAATAGTATTAGACAAAATATAAATTATTGGTTCTGCTGAAACTAAAAAAGCCCTGGACTATTTCAGGTCACGGGCTAAAACTCGAACCCTGGTTTTCTTAGGTTGGATCAAGTGGGTGGGGCTCAAACTTGCCAGCTCTAATCGAAAAATCCTTCACAATTGGTTATCAATATATGTTACTTTTTGCCCTACGATAGTCTTATTTCATATATGGTATCAATATATTGAAGGTAATATAATTGATCTTAATTTTGTGACATTCCGCAACATTCTGAAAATTTTGATTTGTTTTACATTATAACCTACAACTTAAATTTGCAGTGAAGATTACTCAGACTATAACTCTCGTGTAGTTATTAGCTGTAAGATTATACATAAAACTATTAAAGCAACATTATTACATATGCATGTTAATTGGAAATATCATGAGACTGAAATTAGTAACCTGTTTGCATTATGTGCGACACAGCCAATAATAAGCGACAACGCAAGGACGATCGCGAGCCATCCCACCAACATGCTGTTTCTTATTGCTTTCCTCATAGCCTGCTCGTTTACAAGTAAAGGAATTTCATCATGGTGTGTGTTTTAGGAATGATATATATGAAATAATAGATAGAGTTTCCAATATAAGATTCTTATAATTGATTTGATGGAACTCATTTTCTTTCTCTGGCTCTAACTTTTCATTTAATCACGGTGGAAAGACAATTCAAGTCAAATGTCAAGTCAAGATAGTATTATGGCATGAATTATCATCTTCACGCCTCTAATACTGGAATTTGACTTAATTTCGGTTTTGAATATTGGAAGTTTCCATCATAAATACTATAACTAATATATATATATATAGATTGTATCACATGATAATGGTACACAGGGAGAGAAATAAGAATAAATGTGGGCCTTTAGATCTATGATATCATTGGTGAGATAGGGTCGCGCTCTGTCTCTTAAATGATCAATATGCAGTGGCAGTTTAGTAATTAAAAGGAAGTTTGCGGTCTATTGTGAAGGAGCTGAGGGTATAGGAGTATTTTCGCTAAGACACATTCATTGCGATTCCGTTTTTCCCAGGGTGTAATTGAGAGTAATTTCAGAAACTGGCAGGCGCTCTAATCGATCTCAATAATGGCGGAGCTTGCGTTATGAAGATGCTATTTCTATTGTTGAAGAAGCCGTTGGGAGAATAATCGATGCTGCTATGATCCGTCCAAAATAGAAGCCGTTGGAGTTGTGATTTTCTGATTTAGTTCATCGGCTAGGACTTCTTGAGAGCGAGGCCAGTTCTAACTTCACATTTTAGGGGTTAGGGTTCACGGTTCGGGGAATTATGAGATGGGAAACTCGCCGCAGTAAAAAAAAAACCAGGTATATTGTTGTCCAAGATGCTTTCTATGGATTTAACGATTTTACAATAATTGTATTATTTGTTTTTTTCAGTGTTTATAAGGCCATTTTAATTCAAAATTTCTCCGTCATGTGCTTGGTTCTAGCCGTCCTTATCCTTTGGTGTTGTCTTTCCTGTTATGTTTTTGCAATAACCGGTCTGTTTGGTCTTTTTTGCAATAATATGACACACTGCCCTTTCCCTCTTATAGTCTTATAGTAGAGTGAGTGAAGGAAAATGGCTCATCTGTGAGCCAAGCATCAAGCCTAAATTTATTGAGTTGAGGGGATGTTGATATAATTTACAGAACAGTCCTAGTTTCTCTATTGAAAGAGAGTATGTACTCAGTACATACTCACTGAAGTTGGAAAGATGAGCATTGAAATCAGAAGATTCGGATAATAAAGAATATTATCGTAAATTTGAATATTACGTTTCATTCCAAAATATTGAAAACCTATGTACAAAAGCAGTTTTACATTGTTTTCTTGTGCTATAGTTAAGCTTCTATTAGATCACAACGGATGCAAATTTCATGGTCCACTAGTGATGTGTGTTGCTACTGAGCTTCAAATTATTTAGCTGCTTCTATTTTTCCCAAAAAAAAAAAGGTACTGTAACTGATATATACTATAAAAAGGTTCTATGCGAGTTATGGGTTTCAGTTTATACTTTACCTATGCCCCATAGTATTGAGATACATGATTGAAGTTCTATAACTAACAGACAGCAAGCAGACATGCTTTGGCACTTGATTCTTGATTGGTGTGTATATTCGTTGGTATTGCCACTTTGACACATGGTCACTTGAAGATAATCTTGTTTGGTTTTACTGTACAATTCGTAGGTGGTAATCGAAAAGAAAAGGGTCCTGTGACTACAAATCTTGGAGCTGATGAAAAAAACCGGGATACTGGTAAGTATTTTGACTTAATATGATGTCGGTGTTTTTGTGATGAGAAAATGTGCTCTATTCGTACTAATTATGTCATCATTATATATTGTAGTTAAAGACCAAACATGTTCAGTTGCCGAAGTTGCTGGTGATCAGACGCTTGTTGCACGTATAGGTAGTTGTGTTTTTTTGTTTGTTTGTTGGCAAACATACGATTTGGTTGCTGCCAATATTTGGATTTATTATTTTGCATGTATATGTAGTTGGTTTATTGTCATGTGTCGTTTGTTTATAACCATTGATTGGTTGATTAGGTGAGAAACGTCATACGAACAGCACTTCAAGACGTCCGAGCAGCATGGCAAAGACTACTGATAACGTGCATGAAGGTGACTATTCATGAGTGTTTATCTACAATGTGATTGTTAGTGGTTGCATGACGTGTGAGGCTGTGTGTATATGTTTATGCGTGTGTGGAAAGTTGTGTGTGTTTCTACCAATGTAGCGGGTTATAACTTTGTGTTATATGTTTTTTTTGTAGGTGGAACTTGTAAAACAAATGAGTCCACAGTTTCAACACGTGTAGTTGACGACCAAACTAAAAAAGATGGTAAGGATAGACGTTTGTTGCTTAAAATTTTATTTTTTGAAGTCGTTGTGATTAGTATTTAATAATGTATATGATGCTATGCGTATAGTGTGCATTTGATGTACTGGTGGGTGCTATGCATATATTGTGCATTTGTTGTACTGGAGTTGTGCAAGTTGCGGTGTACAAGTGTGCATCCATGTATTTTACACACTCAACTGTCTGTTCCTGTTGTCATTCTTACATGGTTGAATAGATCTAAATGTCGTGCAGATTAGAAAATAGCCGACTTACATTGCTAATATGTTAAACTTGTTTTCCCTGTCACCTTTCTTACTTATTGCATATATCACTATATGGAATGGTCTTTTATCAAATTGTGAATTAATTTTAATTACCGTTCCTAGGTAAGAGAAAGGCAGATCGCGATGTGTCATGCGCGAAGCGGCGTTAGATGATATATTGGATGCTGTTGCACGTCGGGACTAATTCAGACAGATGCTATTAGAGAGTCCGAGCTTTAGCTTGGGGTTATCATCAGACGAGGATGAGTATGTTGTTCGCTGCCATCGATCGGGTGAGGGTGAAGGGGGTAGTGGCGTTAATGCTCATCAAACGGACGAAATAGCTGTCGGAGGATCTTCAGGGGTAGGGGTAGATATACCCACAGGTAATGTTCAACTACATTACAATTGATATTTTCTTCGTGATTAATGTTTACGTATATGGGTTTTTGTTGACTGCTTTGATGATCAATATTATGTTATAGGTGACATTGCTGTTGATACGAACATTGGTGTTGATGTTGCGGGTGTTGGTGGTGTACAAGGTATATATATATATATATATATATATATATATATATATATATATTAATGTGTATTATATTTCGTTTTTCATGTAATTGTGTCGTATGACATATATACTTTTATTATATAGTTGAGTTTATCGTCATCATTGTAGATGAGGTTGCTGTCGCAGAGCAAGTTGATGGTTGTGAGACTGGTGGAAATGCAAATAATATAGGTGTAACACAAGGTATATGTGACTAGTTCATTTAATGATATTAGTCGGTTTTCAATTTATGATATTTTTTTTTTTAGTATTTTTGTCTGTGCATCTTGATTTGTGTGTAGGTGTCGGAGTCGCATCCGACGATGGACTGGCTGTCAATACAAGGCCTAAGCGGCAAACCAATGCGACTAGTGCAATCAAGTCACCGTTTAAGGAGAGGTTGGTTGATGAGAACTCGAAACTAGATGCAAAAGAGAAGATGGCAGTTAACTGGGTTATGAAGAATCACTTGGCTTGGGAGTAAGCTATCTCACTTTGATAATTATGTTTTGTAATTTCTTGAACATTAATTATCATATTATTTCGAATTTTAATGTATTGTGAGTAGTATGTATTGTTCTGAATGAATGATTATGTTTTATGAATGTTGCTATTTAGGCAAAATGACATAATAATATTCCAGTCGTTTAAAACTGTCCCATATTCTGTCCCGAGGCCGGTTGTGGCATGTTTGATTTCGAATGAACATATTTCTGAGGCGATGATAGACTTGTGGGCTTTTGTTCTTAATCACAATGAGAGATTAAAGAGTCGTGGTTCAGCGACGTGTTTTTATGCATCTACGTCTCTATGTAACGAGGTATGATGTGCAACAAATCGTGTCAAATTGTGTGTAAAAGTTGCCGATATTATATAATACTGTTGTAATGTGTGATGTTGCGTTCACAGCTGTTTGTAGAGGGCAAGCGGAAGAAGGACGTTACCTACAAAAAGTTTGCAGAATGTATTGATGCTGTGATTGCGCGGATGTCCCGGTATCAGTTGGACCAAATGTCACTGGTGAGTTTGTCAATTGATTTTATACTATTCGACCTCGAACTACTTTCTTTTATAAGGTTGGAATGACGCGTATGATAATCGTACCTTTATTGTTCATTTCAGTTTTTATTCCCTGTACACTCGAGTGCATTTTCTGGTGTGTTATGCATTGCACCGGGTGCACAGAAGTACAAAGTTGTAGTTCTGGACAGTGCTGGGTTCTGTAAAGAAGCTGCGGTTAAGAGAAAGGTTACGACACACGTTGAGTTGCTTGTAAGTATAATCATATGTTTTGTGCTGTTGTGTTATGGTATGAATGTTGTTGACACCTATATTTGTGATGTTCATGTTCAGAAACAATCGTTCTCAAAATACCTAAGCGAGAGGAAAATGGGGAGGTTCTCCAAGGTAGTTGGTATGGCGGTACCGGAAATCGTCAATCCGACGTGGACGGTTGGGGTCGATACGGTAGATAGTGGGGTGGTCAACATGCGTCACATGGAGACGTTCAAAGGGACTGCCACGAAAAGCTGGACTCCTCAAAAAAAAAGAAGGAGGACAAGGTGCAGATAAAGCTGATGAGGAAGCGTTATTGCTATGTCGTAGCATGCGCTCCGAACAACAAGCTGAAGGATAACAGCTTAGATGCAGTCAATAGATTTCACCCTTTGTACTTGAAGAAGAAACAGGAGCGTGGTATTGCTCCCTGTTGAGTGTGTGGGTATGTATGAGACTTGTTGGCGTTACGATTGTTTATGACTAAGTATGTCGTGCTTTTTTTTTTGTTTGTTTTAGGATGTCGTATGTGGTGTTTTCATATGTTGCGTTTTGGGTTTTAGACATATTTCTGAATGATGACGGGTTTGTGGCATGAACTTGCGATAATATTATGCTGGCTGGTATTATAATGTGCAGGCTATCCATAGATATTGTGCTGTAGTACGCATAATAATGTGCAACATTTGTGTAGTCAAATATACATGCGATAGGCAGTCGTATATTGATATTGTTCCTTAATGTGCAACATTGTTCGAATTAATGTGCAACATTGCATTCAATAATGTGCATTCGTTTTAAGCTATGTATATTTATTTATTATAATGTGCAACAACCTTTATGTAATCATATATACTTGTTGGCGGTCATATAATATCAGTGATTCTTAATGTGCATCATCGTCTAAATTAATGTGCTATGTCGCATTCAATAACGTGCAGTCGCTTTAAGCTATGTATATTTATGCATTGGACATACAAAACAACACAATAATAATAATAATCATAACATCGAAGCTTCCAGCATCTTCATCCACTCTCGTTTACTCTCATTGTCTGCATGTAATTAGATACGTCGATTAGTGTAATGCCCCATTTATCTGTGGATTATTTGAGAATATTATTATTATTTTATTGTTATTATTATTTTGTGATAATATTTATATGTATTTTTCTTGAATGCCATAATATTATTAATTGCCAAAATGTGATTAAAGTGCTAAATGTTTAATTGGCTAATTGTTTTTCGTAATTATTTTATTTTTATTAAATGTGAATAATGTGTATTAAAATATGTAAAATATATATTGTTCGGTTATTTATCATCGTGCGTTTGAATTCGTTATCGAGCCCGAAAATTTTCGTTGGAACCGAAATTGGGCACGAGAATGTCCGTTTGAACCGAAATCGTGCCCGTGAGCCGATTTACTGTCGCGAATCGACCCGCAAGCCAACCGAACCATGCGGCCAGCCCAAACCCGGTTTTTCTAGACCTATGCGTGTGGTTTTTCTTTCTCGCACGTCAAGACTTTAACCTAGGGTTTTCTTTATATGTTTGGTACTCTTCTTGGCGTGAGAAGCAAATCCCGCAGCAATCACAAATCTCTCGTGAGATAACCAGATCAGTCCCGCAGCTTCTCTCTCGCGCAACTTTTGGGATTTTGTTCTTCAGTCCTGATATCATCATCCCTCTCTCTCTCTCGCGTTGTTTGTTCTTTTTCCCGTCACCCTCACACCACCGCTCTTTCAGATCGTTCTTCACCCATCATCATCGTGAACCCTCATCACCATCGTCCTCAGTCCATCATCATCCTCTTCTCTCACCGGAAAACCAGTCGTCGAGCTCTCATCCTCCGCAAGTCACCGTGCGTCGCTGCTCCCTCCGCCACGACCAGCGCCTGCAACTCCTTTGACGAGCCTGCTCCTCCGCGCAAACCGCCGTTTGCAGCACCTCCTCGAGCACTCGTCGCGATTCCGTTGAGCCATTGTCCACGCGCAGACGACTCCACAGCAATTCCGACGATCCCCGATTACACGCAGCAACTCGACGAGCGTCTCTGTCACGTTGGAGCATTCCAGCTGCGATCATAACTGACGCACAGCGCCTCCCCGAGCAGCCGTCGGTGCTGCCCCTTCTCCTTCCGGCGAGACGCGAGCCTCCGTCGAGCTCTTTCGCCACCGTTCGCCGTCGAGCCGTTCGAACCCTTTCTCGCTCGGTATTGAGTCTCGACTCCCTGTTTAAATATTTCGTGAATAATATAATGATCGGATGTGCCTAGTGTGTTCGTTAAATCAATATATGTGTTATGATGCTATATGTTTATGGTTGCTCGTGATTGTATTGTCGTGATTTTATGTCGAACTCGTCGATTCGTGCGAATCGAACGAGAACTGAATATAATAGATGAATTTCTGTGGATTTAGGAACTTAGGATTATTTCGAACACAATGGCGCTGACCTTGTGTCGATTGGAGGTGTATAATTGCCGTTATGATTTTTCGAAGTTCACATTGGCTGTTTGGAATGAAAAATTCACTATAAATCGAATACTAGTCCGATTGCCTTGAAATTTTAGGTGCACCTGTTTTTGATGAATTTGTAGCTACTGTAAAATTTTCGTGATTTTTAAAGGTCTTTAGCTGTTTTTAAAAATTAATTTGATTTCTGTTCAGTTTCTTGTAAAATTCATAAATAATTTTTTGGTGCTCCATTTTGGCTTATTTTCGAGTATGATATGTCTCTGGTATATTTATGTGTTGTGTAAAATTTTTATAATTTTTGAACTATATTTGATAGGGTTAATGATTTAATTGGTGTTTATGCTTGAATTTGTTTTAATTATTATAAATTGTTCTGAAGCTGAAAAATTCTGAAAATTTGTCGAAGTTCTGATTATGTGATTTTTAGCATGCTGTAAAAAGTTCAGAATTTTTGGAGTTCAGTTGTGATCAGTTTTGATATAATTGCGATATTTGGCTGAATGTTGTTTTAATTTTATAAATTGATATACTGAGTGTTGGAGGCTGATAAATTTATGTTTTACTTTTCACATGCTGTAGTATTTTAGATAAAAATTTGTAGCCTGAATCGTCCATTATCATGTGCTTTTAATTTAAACTCGTTTTTGCTGAAAAACTTGTTTGAATTTTATAAAATTATGCATAAGGAGTTTGAAGCTGAAATTGGGTGATCTTACTTAAGAATTGGGATGTGAAATTTACGTAAAAATTTCAGAACCTAACTCATTGATTTGATATGCCTTTTAATTCAAGTATGAATTTGAGAAATTATTTTTCTATGTTGAAATGTGTTAAGTGTTGATGACCAAATGTGCCATGTGTTTACTTGTGACTCGTTTGTTTGTCTTTCACTTGCAATTATGTGAACTTGAAAATGATGTCTGATCGAGTCTAAGTCCTAGTGTTCCCATATCCACAGAACTTCACGAACCACTTAGTCGAATCGAGTTCCGCTAAGTCAATTTGTAAATTTTCTACTTAGGTCTAGATTAAAGTGTTGACTTTAGTATCTGAACTTGATGTAGGTGTCTAGAGGTGTTGACCTCATCTTACTTTCGAGATTCGTGATTTGATCGGTTGCTGCATCCAGGTGGGTACATTTGTGTTGTATCCATAATTATCGCACTTATTATTTCGTGTAATGTTTCTTTTGAAAATTTTTGTATGCATGAGAACTCTAGTCTAAGTGTCCCGAACGCTAGTGCCTTTGATGAATGCGAAAGCAGTAGGAGGTCGCCTGCCCGTTGTATCCGGGAGGGACGCCCCATGCCGTCGTATCCGGAAGGGGAAAAACATCTCTGCTGTCTCCTGGAAAGGATCCTACGAACCGTTGTACCCGGGGGTGGGATGGTTTCTAGTTACAGCCATGCCGTTGTATCCGGAAGGTTGTTGTATGTACATAGGAGGTTTGCGATAGGGCCGGGTAGGGGGTTTAGGCTATGAATTCTATGCATACCGATTCTGATACTGTTTACTGTGATACTGTTTTTAAAATAATTATACGGGATAACTGTGCGATAATGGTGAGCTAGTTGGTTGCTCACCCCCATTATTTTCTTTGTTGTCTTCTCTCTTCCTTTGTTCTAGGTTGAGACAAGCTGGAGGCGGTGGCGTAGGACGAGCGAGATGGTGGTCATTATGTGTTGAAATCTTATGCTTCCGCATGAACTTGTTATTTATTTATTTGCTATCGTACTTTGGATTATTTATTTCGTCATTTTTGAACTATGTTGAATTTCGTTTGAACCTTCATTTCATGCTAGTCGTTTGGGAATGATTTTGAAATTTATGATTATTTGAGATTGTTATTTTGATAGCTTGAGCATGTGTAGGTTCATTGAATTGATTGATTGGGTGTGTTTATTTGTTGTAGTTAGTAAGTAGCGCCCGTTTCTCGATAAATGTTTTAACTTGGATTTAAAAAAAAATAACTCTGATTTTTATTAAATAAATTCGATAAATTCTTTAAAATAAAACGGGGCATTACAATTAGTGAAATACGTAAGGCATGCTCGTACCTCGATAGTGTAATCCAATGAAACAAAAATTTAACACAACGATGCATGAACAAAGTTTTTTTGTTTTTTTATTTTTTTTTATTTTTTTANCATGAACAGAGATTTTTTGTTTTTTTTTTGTAGTACGGGAAATGTATTACAAATCATACCACGACTGTTGCTTGGGACATGTCCGGGTGTTGTGACCTGCCCTCTCACCGCACGTCTTGCATATACGTCTTTTTTTTATAGATTTTTCGATTGCTTGCTCCTTCCCGCTTTTCATCCTTTTCCCACTGCCATTGTTATTTGATTTAGCCGGCGGGTGTATGTTCAACTCCTGAGGGGCAGACGTGCCGACAAACGTTTCAAATCGATGCTCTTTCGTCCCAGTTGGAATAGGTCCCTGTTCAGTCATCAACTTGTGCTTGTGGTTTCCGATAAGTCTTGAAAACTCGACAAGGCGGTCCATGGATGACTCAACCAATCCCATGCATAGATGTATGTCAGACCACAATTTATTCACCATGAATTTCCTATCATCAATTTGAGCACACTGTTCGGTTATACCATCAACAACGCAGAACATTGAGTTAAGAATTGCCAGTTTTGTCCATGTCGATAGAATATATGCAGTCGATATAACCTCAGCATTCACATCCCTCAACACAACGAAAATGTGCCTGCACAGCCACCCATACAGTTCAAAATGCTTACAAGAGCATGTGGACGTTTTCAGACTCACATTGTATAGCACCGTGACGTCTTGCCATTAATATCCTGGACTTTGAATTTTGTATTCTCATCGTCATTTGAGAATTTCATAAGATGACAATGAAAACACGCTGCACATATTTCTTTTTGAACAAGATAGAACATGGCAGTGGTATACACATTAAGAGCATGCTTTTCAATAGCCAATGGAGTTTTCAAGTTAGCCAAGTGTGTTTCACTGTCAGCTTGCAATTTCATTGATGTGTTTCGTTGCGCATCCATTGCACTATCAAAGTGTAGCAAGAATTTGACTAGACTAGCATGACTGTTCATGAAATAGCCGAACCAATTATTCTCACTCTCTGACC